ACAGCCCGCTGGCAGTGGCATGTGGTGCTCCTGGGGACCAGCAGAGCCTTTGCTGAGCTGTCACGCCTGCTACATACCTTCTCCCAACATCCCAGAGGGTGGCAAAGCTGCTATCCATCATTATGCAGTGATTCTCCCCTCCTACTGCTTCATCCCCACAAACTGACAGACATCTCTACAAACTTTCCACACTTAAGTGCCGGGATATACCTTTCAATAATTCATCTCTTGTGCTGCGATTCAGGCTCACAGATGCCACTCTGGGACAGGTGGGCTTTATCTAATACATTCAGACACAGCGAGTATCTTCTCTACCAATACCTAGAACCTGCTCCTGACATGTCCAGCAACAGCAGCTACATCATGGGCAGGGCACTTTAAGCAACTCTGATCAGCAACTCCAGCCCTAAGGCTGTAACAGTCATAGCTCATTTTCTACCTTTGCAACAGAGGTACGAGAGGGGGGAACAAAACTGGGCTCCAGTAGGATTGCTCTTTGGAGGCAAACCCCCTAGATGAGTTCAGAGCTTCTGCTACATTTAATAGAGGAAGCACCCAGAAACATCCAGCAAAACTGCAAGCAACAGCCCAGCAGCACTCCCCCACTTTCAGGCAGAGGTAATACCAGAAGTATGATCTCGATGATAAAAAAGTATGATAGTACCAACTACCAGCTGGTAATTCTCCAGATTGCTTGGTGTTTTCAAGTGGTTATAACTCTGCCTGCTTCTGAGCTGTTCCAAGAGCACCCAGGTCAGACTGCCACAACACTGAAACACAATGAAATCCTAGCACCTTCAACAAAGGACTGGCTGATGGGAAGGGGAAACAAAAGCTATTGAACCCAACCCCAGAGGGATGGAGGAAGTGCATCTTCCCGCAGTTCCTGGGCTATATGCACATATATGGATATATAAAGTTATAAAATTTGATCAAAATAAAACCAGTAAATGTACAGCTTGAAAAAGAGCAATATCACAGTGCATCCATGTCATGAGAAAGTCATGTGTTCTGACCCTGCAGTGAGAGCACAGCCTGCCACATTTAGAAGAGAGACCAGAGAAAGCGGGCGCTCTGACCTGCTCGGCTCACGGTGGGCCAAAGGCACCATCCTGTATTCCTAAACATGGTTTTGTACTTGTGCAGCCAGTTCTGCACAGTGGTGGTGGACAGCCAGAAGCAGCACAAGAGCAGGCTGCTCCGTCTGCAGGTTAGTCAATGTATAGTCACCAGACACCAGAAATCCAAAGTTGCTTTTAAACTTCACCACGCTCCAGTGCCAGGATCATATTTACTTACAAAAAAGTGACCAAGTGAAGAAACTCAGGGGACGCTGTGAGAGTGGGACAAGGGCTGAATTCGGATCACAGGGGACAGGTTGACTCTAAGAATCTTCTGTGCTCTTCTTCTGACTTCATCATCGGAAGAAGAGTTGCCCACCTTGATGGCCCAAAATTTCAGCAGGTTCAAAGTGCTCCGAGCTCGTCGAGACTTATTTTGGACAGGAATGGATTTTGATTTTTTTCTCTGTGGTGCATCGCTCGCCTCTGCAACTCTTTTTCTCTTCTTCCCAACAGTCTCCTGGTAAGTGCTGCTATCCTTCCACTCCACTTTCCCCACTGGAGCTTCCTTAGCTTTGATTTTCAAGGCCTTGGACTGTGGTGCTGTGGTGCAGCCTTGGGAGGAGCTGCCTGCGATTCTTCCGTTCAGGACTCCTGAGGCTTTGCAAGCATTGCTCTCCTGCAGCACTCCACCCTTTAGTCCCTTCAGAAGATTTAAAGCGAGGGTGGCAGAATCCGGTGCTTTCTTTCCCACACGCTTACATCGCTTGCCTTCTCTTATTTTAGTGGTCTTGCCTGAAGAAAATTGCCTTGTCTGGCTTGAAACCTTAAGGAGTTTAAGGTCTGAGGGTGATACCCCAAGAGGCCCACGTGCGTACTTGGATTTCAAACAGGATGTGGGGGTTTTCAGTGGCACCAGAGCTTCCAGAACCACAGACAGCCTCACTGCTGGATACACATCAGGATACATGCTTGCAGGAAAGCCCACTGCTGAGGCCTTGGACTTGCCTGACCTGGTCTGCTTAAAGGAGTTCAGCAGCAAATTTGTGGAATCACCTTTAGACACTGGCGGAGAGACTTTAGAAGAGTTCACAGAAATGCTGGTGGGGGAAGCAGATGTTCTTGCCATGGCTGCAGTGCTTCTAGCTGGAGTCTTAGGGGGGGTGGAGGTGGTGGCAGCAGCACAGCTGTGCGGTGTGCTCCCTTTTGCCTGGCTAGGTGTGTCTGCTGTGCACGAGCTGTACCCATACACATCTTTGCTCCTCAGAATTGTGGGCTGGAAGCCCTCTTCCTTGAGGCCCTGAATGAAGGCCACCAGCTGGGTTTCTGTGTCTGAAAGGTCCTTAGACATGGGATTGAAGACTCGGAGGGCTTCCTCCAGCACTTTTTGTCCTGCAGAGTAAATTCTCGACCAGGAATGGACAGCTTTTTCTTCCACATTGTTCACTGCAATATTCATGGCATTAGGCAATCGGGTGCTTCAAAATTACTGGAAAAACAACCCTAGGCACCTCAAAGGGAGAGAGAAGATAGTTAGCTTACAGCAACTGAAATCATCTCACATTTTTAAGCGGGGACCTGAAACCATTAAGCCTAGACTTTTGCTACTCACAAGCATCAGGTTGGAATCTTTGCTCAACTCCAGCTAGCAGCAAAAAACAAACACTCCATCACTGATTTATCACTGCAGCAAAACTAACACATATCTAACGGAAATACACTCAGTCCTAAACAAGGATTTCTGACAATCCCATCCAACCCATCCCAAGATGAACAGTTCCAGTCGTTAACTTAGTGACATCCACAGCTTTTTTCCAGTTTGAGTTTGATATGCCCCAGCATCTGGAACCCAGATCTCATTTTGCCTTTGCAAGAAACATTTCATTTAAGCTTTTCCCTGTGCACATACTGAGGACAACATGATCACACCATGTCAGCACTCTCACTGATGAACCAAGCAGCTCAAGCATCTCAACTCTACTCCTGTGTCACATTCAATTTTTTCAGCTTTGAATTGATTCTGCTCAAAAAAGGATTCCGAGTCCTTTCCAAATCTGCAGCATCCTTCTGAAACACTGACAGCAGAACTGGAGGCTATTTCAGCCATGCTCCAGTGATGCTGAACATCAGGGCAACACAACGCCACTCCTTGCTGTCCCTGTGTTTCAGCCACAGTCTACAACTTGCTGTCCCAGCAAACTGCTGTCGATCCAAGGACGTCCGCTGCCAAGTGAGGAAGTGAGAAGTTCAAGTGGAGTGGCAGGCAGGAAATGGGCATCAGCAGGCCATGTGCACAATGGTTAGTAGTACAACACTCAGATCTCACTTAGTGGCACAAAGCAGCTGCAGTGCAACAAGAGCACTAATTTTGGCTCACAAAATAAAAACAAAAAGATACCAAAGAGCAGGGTGGGATTTCGTAGTGTGACTGGGAAAACTCAAACTCTCATGCTGATCTGGCTGCCCAGCCAACACCTCAGCTGGAAGCAAAAATCTGCAGCATTGTTCTCAAAATAGCGAAGAGGAATCAAAAGAACAATCTTTTCAGGGACATGCTGAAGGTGTGGCAGGCGCCAGAGGAGTGGGCAGTATGCAGATAAGAAAGCTGGAAAAATGAGCACTTGAGGCGGCAGAGAGAGGAACTGCTCATAGCCTGGATTCCTCCCAAAGTGCAGCTGCACAGCAGGGCTGGGCAGCTCCCGCAGACAGGGAAAATACACAAGCCCACAGTTTAATATCAGCCAAAAGTAGATAGAAGGGAAGCACAGGTCAGTGAGGGGCTAAGAGCTGCCACATGACAGACTAATCCATGTCAAGTGTTCTGCAGACGTCACAGCAGAAGAAGGATTTGAAGGAGGATCATGCAGTCGCTTTGCAACGCCCAGGATACCTCCCACGGGTGAGGAGGGAAGCGCTTGGACAGGACTGAGGCTGGTGCCCGTGCCCAGCAGCAAGGTTTGCCATCTCCATAATGACCAAGCAGCAGCGGGCACTGTGAAGCCAACAAGGACAGAGAGCTTAATCCTGATGTAGTAGAGAGCGAGAAGCCAGCAGAGAAGCACAACTAACAACACGCTCTTAATAGGTTGCAAAATTCATAATCTTCCACTGAGAATTTCAGGCTGCAGAGTGCCCAGGGGCAGCCAGGACACCTGGGCATGTATTTTGGTGTCCAACAGCAGTGTGCAGTCCAGTGTTCATTGCCACATGGACAGAACATCCCAACATCCAGACACACGGCCTTGCTTCGTGTAGTGCAAGCTGCAGTGTGGACAAAGGCCCACCCAAAAGCAAGGCTGTTCGACTGGTGCCCTACTCAGGGACAAGTCCTAGCAAAAGTGCCCGATGGCCACAGCTGCTGGTGTGGCCACCCTGCAAGCAAGGTGCTCTGCTATCCCAGGAGCAGACTGGCAGCAAAGCCTAGAGGCCTCGAGGAGCCCGGGGGCGGCTGTCAGCAGGACAAGGCCAGGCCAGGCCGTGCCCCAGGAGCTCTGCAGGGCCGACCAGGAACGTTCATAGGGCGGGCAGGCTCTCGGCGCTGCCTCCCTTCGGTAGCGAGACGATGCCCCTTCCCCGGGCCCGACCCTCGCTTCCTCACATCCTCCCTCGGCCTGGCGGGACCCAGGACCGTGCGCCTTCGGCCTCACCGACCGGAGGAGCCCGGTGCGGACAGCCCCGCCGGGTCTCGGTGCTCTCCCCGGGGGGGCTGCGGGGAGGTGATTGGTGCAGACAGCGGGTGCGGCCCCGCGCCGGCTCCCGGCACCCGGAGGGGGCGGAGACCGGGGCGGGGCCCGCAGAGCTGCGGCTCCGCCTCCAGCACCCGGAAGGCGCTCCCCGCCGGGGCGGCTCGGCAGTGCCCCCGCCCGGGAGCGCGGGACTCGGGCACCGCCGGCCCCAACCTACCGGCCGCCGCCAGACCCGCACCCGCCTCTGCGCCGCACTCTCCGCTCCAACATGGCCGCCCGCGGAGCGCCGGAAATACCGCCCAGTTCCGCTTCCGGCTTCTTGGCCACGCCCACCATGTCGAGCCCCCGCCTCCCCACCCCCCATCCCTCGGCCACGCCCCTCCCGACCCCTGAGCGCGACAGCCGCGGCCCCGGGAGGGCTCGGCAGGGGGCGCCGCCGGGGCGGCTGCGGAGGGCGGAAGCGGCGCCGTTTCCAGGCAACGGGCTCCGTGTCGCCGGTTCCGGTGCCGACAGCGGGGCCATGAGCGGGCGGGCGGGGCGGCGGCGGTTGGTGCTGCACGTGGATCTGAACAACACGGTGGTGGCGGCGGACGCGGTGTCGGGGCTGGGCCCGCGGGAGGCGCTGAACATCTTCCTCAGCACCGCCACCTGGGGCCGGGAGGGGGCTGACGGTGAGCGCCGGGCTCGAGGGCCGAGGGCCGGGGGCAGGGACGGGACTGAGGGGTCGGGGCTGGAGCGGGGGCCGGGATCGGGGAGCCGGAGCCGGACAGGAGCCGGGGAATCGGGGCCGTGCCTGCGCGGGGCCGGTGGGCAGGCAGTGAGCGGCGGCTTTCTCTCTCGCAGGTGAATGGCAGTGGATGAGTGACCGCCCCTCGCTGCGAGCCCCCTGCCCCGGAGCCGTCAGCTACTACTGTCGCTATGGCCGTGACCAGGCCTTCACCGAATCCGGCCCCGGCCAGCGCTTCAGCAGCCTCCACATGCAGCACCTGCGGCTGCTGGAGTGGCCGGGTGAACCCCACCGGGAGCTCTCCGTGCAGGATGGGCACGGCAAGCACTACCACTTCATCCTGCCCTCCTTCTTCCGCCTGCTGGATGCCCTGCACCGGGATGGCAGGGATTTCACTATTATCTTTAGGACCTTTGGTACCGACTTGCCCCGCACGCTGTTGGCCCTGCGCTCGGCCCTGGCTGGGCAGCACCCCCAGTTCCCTGCCCTGCGGGACCTGGCGGTGAGTGTGTCCCCATGTGCTGGTGGGGGATCTGCTGGCAGGGTGGCTGAGCTGGGCATGGAGAGGCCTCTACAGCACAACAGGACTTTTGCCTAAAGCTGGCCACACCAGGAGGCAGGGCAGGAGCACTAGTAGCAAGTGTCATAGAATCATAGAATCACTGAGTTTGGAAAAGACCATTAAGATTATCTAGTTCAACCATCAGAAGTTACTCCAGTTGTTTCTCAGAGAGCTGACAACAACCAGGCACTGAAAGGATGGAAGGGTGTAGTTAGATGGTCTCCATTTCCATTCCCCAGCATACAGAAAGCTTTTTGGGTTGTGTGGGTTCCACATCTCATTTTCCCTAGTGCTGTCCTCCCACACTGTCATGAAAAGTTACCACCCTGCTGTTTGTTGTCTGTTACAATGCAGTAAACAATCTGCTTGCTTTGGAAACCTCTCATCTCCTGCTTTCAATAATACTGCAGCTCCCTGTGGTCCTCACTCCTGGCCAAATACGCTGCAGTAAGCGAGAGGTTGTGCTGAAACGAGGAGCAGAACGACTCACCACCAGGGAGGATGGAAGAAAGCTGTACGATTACTTCAGCTCTTTGGAGGGAATTGGAGGCTTCCAAGACCACTTTGACTGGTGAGAAGTAGGGCACTGAGAAAGCAGATTGGGCATTTTATCCTCCTCTGTGATTGTCCTGGTTTGAGATAGCTCCTAGTTTTGATGCCTTTACATTGTTGCGGCTCCAATAACTTCAGTGCTCCCCATTTTGCTTGTAGGCAGGCTGATGGTACTCTTGCATTTTTTGTTCTGTCTCCATCCCCTGGTGTAATTCTTGCTTTTTTCTAAACACCTTCTAATTTGTCTCCTGGCTGCAAAGTGTTTCTCTTTCATAGGAGACAACATTAAGCAGAGAGACAGGACTCTGCCTATTGTCCCATTTCCCTGGCTCTTAGGAGTAATTTGGTGCTGACTCGACAGCCCTTACATGCAAGCCATCACCCTGTCCCTTGCCTGACAATGCATTGCACCACCTTTTGTTTCAGGTGGGCCAGAAATCAGTTCTCTTCCCAGGGTGGGAAGCCCTTGTGGATAGATCCCCATGATCCCAGCATTCACCACATCTTCATTGACGACAACATCCGGCTGGATGATGCAGACACCATTGTCCACCCTCAGGTAGGTGGCTGAGCACCCCCTGGTGCTCAGCTAGCTGGGATGTCCCTGCTTAGGCAGACATGTTTTGTTCCCTTTGTGTTAGCACGAGTGTGCAGAGAGGGACCAAGGCTTTGTGCTAGTGTTGCTGCTCCCCAGGTGACTGGGGCTGCCGGTGGGGAGGCTGAAATTGGCTGTCAGCACAGAACAGCAGGCGTTCAATGCCTGTGCATGCTGCCAAGCTCCTGTGCTCCACTGGGGTGAGTCATCCCTGCTCCCTGCCAGCACGGCAGCCAGCCAGCCTCACTGTGTGGCTGCAGCGTCTTGTGGCACTGTATTTAAAGGGCGGCATTTGTGGTGGAGCCTGGGAACACTGATGCAGACCAAAATGCACTCAGCAACTGGACAAACTATTGGTGATCAAACAAGAGCTGCAGCTCCACAGATGAGTCTTAACTCTGGCTGGGTTCCATCCAGGAGGAAGCAGCACACGAAGAAGCCTGCAGTGGTCTGCAGGGCACCTGGAGCATGGCGAAGATATTCACTTCTACACAAGCACTCTCAGATTTGTAGCTGGTGACAGGAGTTGTCACTGCACAGAGCAGACCTATTAGAGGAAAGGCTTGCTCTGTGCCTGGGCTGATTGAGGTGAATGAATGCAGAAGGCTCTGCTGAGAGCCCGAGGTTTCTCTGCAGCAGCTGCTCTCTGCATGTCTAGAGCAGCCAAAGCACGGCTCGTGCAGCTCCACTTGCTGCATTTCAGCCTTGGGCTGTGTCCCTGACCAAAGAGCTCTGCCTGTCACCATCTGTAGCCAGCACAGCTGGGTCAGTTGGGCTGCTCAGCTTGTCTTGGGGCAGCTGTGAAGATAACCTCAAGGTTCCCCTGGCACCAGATCAGAGAGGTGGGATCAAGTTATCTTGGCAGCAGACCCAGTAGGAGTTTGGATGGCAACTGAGCAGTTTTCCAGCAGGGCTCAGTGCTGCTGTCTGGCCTCGCTCTGTAGCCTGTAGGTCGCTTAGACACCATCTTCCTCTTTTGTGTCACTAGCTCTGCAGGGCCATCCACTTTGTCAGTGACAGTGACAGAGTGCTGCACGGCTGGCTGGGAAGGAAGCAGGTTATCAGGCAGCCTTAGGCAAAAGCATGGTGAAGCTGTTGACCCTTCCTGTGCCATGTGGCTGCACCAGTTCTGGCAACAGGCTGGGCAGCAATGGCAGAGCTGGCGGCAGAGTCTTTCCTGGGGTTGGCTGATCATGGCACAGTTTTTCGTCCAACAGCCCAGTATGGCCCTTTCCTTAGGGGAGCCCCAGCCACATGTTGTGACAAGCTGGTTCTGATCCAAAGGGGCCATCTGGGAGGGGAGGGAAATCTGGAGAAACTTAATATTCTACCGATAGAGTGAAAATGGGAGCCCTTTCCTGCTGCCACCAGCTCGCTCAGCAGGAGATGCTCAGTTAGCTGGCAGCACCTGGCTGAGGGAGGCATTGTGATGCACAGTGGGATGCACGCACTGCTGCCAGGCTCTTCACTTGGGCCGGGCACAGCCCTGGCACTGTTGTCCACAAAGGATGAGTGCTTCCATACTCTGTTTTCTCCCACAGGTATTTTCAGAGCGAGGCAGCAGCAACCCCAGGTATGCTCCTACCTCAGAGCTGTATGATGTTTGCCTGGTGCAGACCGACCTCCTGGAAGCCATCGCCAATGAGGACTATTTCCTCTGCTGCGTGAGGAGGTGTGAGGAGAACTATGACAGTTACCTGGCCCGCATGGAGAGCGGCTCCCTGAGCGAGCAGAGTGATGGACAGTGATACCACCAGGCAGGCTGGGCTGGGGCCAAGGTGCTCAGAATGAGGATATCCCCCTGCTTCCTTCCTGCTGTACAAAAAGTCCTGGGTGGGTTTTGCTCTGAGCTGTCCCCTTTCCAGCATGCAGTGTGCCCACCCTGTCCCACCGAGAACTGCCAGGCCCAAACACAAATGTCCTGGGAGTTTGTGTGATGGCATCCCTTAAGGAAATTGCTTCCCCTTCCTCAGATGCAGTGTAGGGAGCTGGTGCCCCTCAGCAGGCAGTGCTGTGCCTTGTGCCTGCTCCTGCCCTGGGCTGGGTCTCTGTGCCCTCTGCTCCTGCAGCCACACGCAGGCATGCCAGTGTTTGTCTCCATTCCCACTCCCACATCCCACAGAGGCAGCCAGCCTAGAGCTGGCACCATGGGTACGATGTGCTCCCTAGCAGAGCTGGTTCCATGCCACTTCCACCTGATTTTAAAGCGAATCTTTCTACCTTGTTTCCGATGCGAGTTCCCTTTCTGCCCTCACTCGGGCTGTGCAAGCAGGGGAAGCGCCTTTCCCTCCGTGTTCACTTGCTCAGAGTTTGGCAAAGCGAGGAGCAAAGGGATAAGAAGCATGGCATCGGCAGGCATCTGCCGCCGCCGAGCGACACCGACCCCGGGGGTCTCCTGCGGGCGAACCCCGGTGCTCAGGGTGGGCTCCACGCCCTGCCCTCTCGTGCCTCCACCTGGTGATCCGCGCAGGGCGTCGGGGGCATCGGGGATCGGGGCCCGGGAACAGATCCGGGGGGGCCGGGCGGGCGCGGCACCGCCTCCACCGGCAGCGGGCGGGCCCCGCGCGGAGCGGAGCGGCGGCGCTGAGCGGAGAGCGGCGGAACGGGCGGCGAGGTGAGCGCGGCGCGGTGCCTGTCCCGCTCCCGGGCGGCGGGACCGGTACGGGGCGGGACAGCTCCGGGAGTGCGGGATGCGGACGGGGAGCCAGGGGAGGATGCGGAGAGGGAGCACTGGGGGTCCGAGATGTGCACCGGGAGCCCGGGGGAGCGAGAGCATCAGAGTGTGAGGGAAATGAGCCGGGAGCGGATGCCCCACGGGGACGAGCAGAGCCACGGGGAGCGGGTGCCCTGCGGAGATGGGCTGGGCACTGGAGCCCAGGAGCGTGAGATGGCCGGGTGTGCGGGATGACCGCTGGGATCCTCCAGGTGTGGAAGCCCCAGAGGATGCGGGTGGTGCATTGGGAGCACAGCAGCATGCTGTCACACCAAACCGGAGGTTCTGGCTCGCGGGGACCGAAGCAGCAGTTGGTGCCCAATGCTGACCCTACTGCTCTCTTTGCAGGAGCCGGGCAGCAGCCGAGTCAAGTCCCACCACTGCCGTGGGCCGGATGGGTGGCACGGTGGGGCTTGGGCCCGGGGACCCCCGGGGTGGCTAAGCCATTCCATGGCGGCATCAAGTGCAGGTGCCTTTGCGTGGGTCTCCTTTCCTTCCATGCCCACACGGCGCGTGTACTGCAGCGCTGCGCACCACGACGGGCAGCTCTTCGTGCTGGGTGGCTGTGGAGGCAGCGGGAGAGCCCTGGGAGCCGCTGAGGTGCTTGACCTCCAGGCCCAGCGCTGGACCACGCTCCCTCCGCTGCCCACGCCACGGGCTGGTGCTGCCACCCTTGCCGTGGGCAAACAGATCCTGGCGGTGGGCGGTGTGGATGCCTCGCAGAGCCCCCTCGCCTCTGTTGAGATCTACCATGTGGATGAGGGCAGGTGGGAGAAGGCAGCAGCGCTGGCACAGCCTTCCATGGGCATCGCGGCCGTGCAGAGAGGTAGGTGACACGTTCTGCCCAAACTTTGCCTCTGAGCCTCAGTGCAGCCATTGTGCGGGAGTCCCGTGGAGGATGCATGCGTTTGCTCTGGGCTGGGGATGCGGTGGCATCACCCTGGGGCAGAAGCCGGTGGGGCTGTGATGGGCGCAGGCAGGGGTGCCGGCAGCAGAGCAGGATTTGGCAGCATGGCAGCGTTGCCATGGTGTCTCCAGGGAGATGGTGCTGCCGGGAATAATTAGAGCCGATGGCCCTGGTGCTCTGCTCCACACAGGGTGGATGGAGTGGGTGAGGGTCCGAGCGAGGTCAGGGCACTGCCCAGCTGTGCTAGTTGTCCTTCCCTCACCCCTGCTGGTTCCACAGATGGTGCCGTCTATGTGCTGGGGGGAATGGGAGCAGATACCTCTCCACAGGCACTGGTTCGCGTCTACGAGCCGGCGAAGGACCACTGGCAGCCGCTGCCCTCCATGCCCACACCATGCTATGGGGCCTCTGCCTTCCTGCAGGGCAACAAGATCTTCGTCTTGGGTAGGTAGGCGAGCCCAGAAGCCTGCCCAGATGGGTGCATTGCCCCAAGGCCCTGGCACATCCCAGGGTTGCTCCATGTGGACCCTTTTGCTGGGCATCACTGGTGGTACTGGCTGCCTCTCCGGTGCCACCAGCCCTTGCATCTCATCCACACACAGGGGGTCGGCAGGGCAAGCTGCCCGTCACTGCCTTTGAGGCTTTTGACCTGGAGACAAAGAGCTGGACACGCTACCCCAGTGTGCCCAGCCGCCGCGCCTTCGCCTCCTGCGCCATGGCTGACAGCATCTTCTTCAGTCTAGGGGGGCTGCAGCAGCCAGGGCCACACAACTTCTACTCCCGACCCCATTTTGTTAACACCGTGGAGATGTTTGACCCCACACAGGGTGAGGCCCAGATGGGGAAGGAGTGCTGCCTGTGTTGTGAGGTCCACAGTGATGCTGACAGCCTCTCCTTGGCAGGTGCGTGGAGCAAGCCCAGCCGTGCCATCCGCATGAGGGAGAAGAGAGCTGACTTTGTTGCTGGCTGTCTGGGAAGATACGTGGTGGCCATGGGTGGCCTTGGTAATGTTGACTGCTGTGGCTGTGGTGGGGAATGGGCTCTCAGTGCATGAAAACCTGTCCTTCCTGGGCTCCATCTGCAGAGCTGCAGCATTGCAACCTGCTCCCAGGAGAGCTGGGGAAAGGTCAGTACTGCTGCTCAGCAACAGGAAAGCTGTGGAGAGGGCTCCCAGGGCAGCTGCAGCACCCCAGCCTCGTGGGCTCTGGGCACACTTGAGATGCCACAGTGCCAACCAGGGGCAGAACCATGGTGCAGCATTGTTGCCAGCAGCCCTCTCCCAGGGGATGCTGTTAATCCTGCTGAGCCCCTGCATAGTTACTCCAGTACAGCAGAACCCAGGGTGCATGGAGAGGGCTGAGGCCATGCCATCTTTTGCAGGGAACCAGTCATGCCCGCTGGACTCAGTGGAAGGGTTCAGCCTCACGCGGAAGAGGTGGGAGCTGCTGCCCCCCATGCCCACTGGCCGCTGCTCCTGCTCCAGCTGCCCAGCCCCTGACCTGCTCTTCGTCATCGGTGGGGTGGCCCAGGGCCCCAGTGGAGCTGTTGAGGCTCTCTGCCTGCGTGATGCACCCTGACAATGGGCTTTTCAGCCTGGGGAGCAGCCCCAGCAGAGCATCAAGTGCCTGAAGACGGGGACAGGGTGTGCAGGGCTCCAGGAAGCTGCCGTCCCACGATACTGAGTACTGCAGCAGCCATGGTTTCTTGCGACGCATCAGAAACCCCTCCAGGCTCCCACAGCAGCAGAGTCCAGGGGCAAATCCTAGTGCCCAGGGAGGGCCAAGCCTGCTGGCATGGGGAGCCATGGAGGTAGGGCTGTCGCTGGCCATGCTGCCCCATCTGGCCCCATGTCCGTGCCATGTGTGTAGCAGTGAGTGCTGTGTCGTTGTAGACCCAGTCGATGTCTCATGTAGCGCAGAGGTGCCCTGTAGCTCAGTGCCTAGGAGGTGATGTAGCACCTCGAATAAATGAAATGTGAAGTTTTAGCTTACTGCAGTCATGTCGTTCTGCTGTGGGGGGGACATGGGTTGCCCTAGCTTGCTTAGCACTTGAGCCTTATTGGTTTTAGCTTCATGCAAAGTCACACACTTTAAAGCACAGACAGACCAGAATAGATACAGGCGAGAGATTCAGTCTTTTAATGAGATGACATTAGAAAAAATCTCATGGGCCGTGGTAAATATCAAACGTGAGAACCTGACCTTTCAGAGAGGATGGCCAGTGTGCTGCTGCTGCATCAGGCTGCGCACATGCCAGGGCATTGCATGGAAAAAGTTGGACATGGTTCAGAGAAGAGCCACTTGGTGTGTTTTGGGAGGAATATCCTGGGATCCTTGGGCTGGCGGTACCTCTGATGCTTGAAGCATCCTTGCATCCACCTCTGGAGTTGCCATAGAAACACTCCTGTGCTGGAGCCAGCATCAACATGGGGCCCCAAACTGGGGATTGAGGTTAGCAGCAGGGGGGGACTCACCAGCAGCAGAACGAGGTTAGTGACTTGTGCTATGCTGAGAGGTCTGGGGGGCTGGAAAGAGGGATCCTGTGCTCCGAGCACAGCACATGCAGGGCTCTGGCACACTGCTGTGAATATTGCAGCAAACTGCACTTTCACAATGCTCCCCTGAAATGCCTTGGTGGGACAGGTATGGTACCCCTCCACAGCCTGCCAGCCCTTTCCAGAAGCCACCGAGGCTCCTACGAACTTCACTCACCACAACTTTTGTCATGTGCAACCCTAAATCACAGAGTTGCATTGGAAATGCAGACCTGATTAATGAACTCGTCCCATGGGAGCATGGTGTGGACAGGATAAATCAGGCACTGAGTCACCAGCAGGCTGATACTCCCCTGCAGCATTCCCTTCCAGTGTGGCAGGCTGCAGTGTGGGTGCCAGTGCTTGGAACTGCTCTTACCAAATGCAAGGCCATGCCAGCTGCACCTTAGCACCTTGCTGTTGTGTGTCCCCACTGCGGTGACATTTCCAGCAGCTCTACAGGTCCCCTACAGTCAGCTTGCCTCTTTCATTACCACTCAAGTCTCCTGCATGTGACTGGGGAATTTGGGGTGCATCCACCAACCGCAGCACCGCTTGACTTGACTGTTTCAATTGAGAAGAATCTGTGATCTTTCCTAAAAGTCTGGATTGCTCATTCTTTTGTCTCTCCACTTTTGGGCACTGGAGCAGGATCCCAACCAAAGGAGGGGAAGAAAGCATCCAAGACAAGAGCCAAGAACGTCTTGGGATGGATGGAGAAATCTTCAGGCAAAAAGGCAAAACAAATGATGACCCTGACTGTGCTTAAGACTGACACATTGTTCGTTTAAGAGCTCATGTGAGTTGCTAATGAAATGCTAACAAATTGAAGAAAAGCAGTTGAGGGACATACAAGATATATTGCTGTCTATCTCCTGGTATGTTCTTCTAATTTTTACTAAATGAAAGGCTTCAAGTGTCTGGCCGGACTCCCTAATGCTAGAAGCACAGTCTGTTACTCCAGATAGAAGGAATTCTACAAGCCAGCACCTGGCAACACTTCTGATCTCCACAGAGCTGCGTTATGGATGAGGGAGACTGGGACTGGAGCTAGCTGTCAAACCTATAATTAAAAAAATGTGTTTTCTTATAGAAATTTCTTTCTGTTGTCAGGAGAGAAGGAATACAAAATCTCATTTATCATATACCACAAATTTGGTAGACACTCAAACCAGAAAGCTCCAGCCACATCAGAAACATGAATTGCTCTGCATAATAACTTAAAATAACGCGCTGAATCCTATAGCTCATGCACAAAGTGCCAGCAAATCCTTTCCAAATAACAGTGCTGCAATGGGTAGAAGGCCCAGTGGGCTCCTATGAATGCAGTTCTAGATTTTCCAATAAAAAGATGGAAAAACACTGTTTATGATGCAGGACCACAGTGGACCTCAACACAGCAATAGCAGCACTGGGCATTGGCCTGCACACCCAAGCTGTACAAAGCACAGCACCAGACCAAAGCCTTCCTTTACTCAAATGGTGCCATAACCATGGATATCCCTGCAGCAGTGTTCTCTAGAGGAAGGTTGGGCTTCCATCCTTAGGTGGTCGACTATCATATTAGTGCAGTGGGAGCACAGCCTCTGCTTCAGTCCTAGAAAAGCTTCCTACCACTGAATCATCGCACAGGCAAGAGTTAACAAGTCATGGAGATAAATTTGAGCTATTTATACAGACAGCCCTGTTATTACGAGCAAAAACAATGCATTAGAGCTGCTCCAAAATGTTTGTGAAGGGTAAAAGTCTGTAATTCTTTAAGTCAAGGCTTCAGTTCTTCAGGATTTGTTAAGGAAACACAGCATAGTTATTGTTTTGACACCTCAGAGCTCCAGGCTGTATTAATGCTAAAACTTCCCTCCAGGCAAGAGGGGCTTGAAGGAGATGTGATGAACCCCTCTAATCAATCTTCAAATTAAAAGCAGCTTTATTTCTGCAGCAGTTCGTTGCTTATGGAGCACCTTCAGAACTTGCAAACAAACAGCTTAACAGGCATTAAAATTGCCTTGAGTTAAAGGGGGAAAAAATAGGCAAGCAAGCGTGCCCATTTTCCATTCCTGAAGACAAGGAGCATAAAAATTCCAGAGAAACCATATTTGAGAGTCTTTCTGCAGGGCACGTTTAGATCATGGGTTATTTCTGTCAGACTAGCAAGTAAAATTAAGCCGTTCTGCATTTCCGAGAGTGCTGTTGACACTGGAGACTGCACAGCCCTTGGGCATGAAGCGCCCCAGTGTGCTGCACAGACAGCCAAGGGTCCCCAGGCTCAAGCACCTCCTGCACACAGCACTGGGGTGGGTCCCGTCTGTGTGGGGACAGCCTGAGAGAACCCAGCTCTGTGAGGAGCCTGCAGGCCCAGCTCCAGCAGCCACACCGGCCGTGGCAGCCATGTTGGCCGTGGCAGCCATGTTGACCAGGCCTCACTAGGCCCCACGCTGGGCCGTGCTCCCCTTGCAGCAGCTGTGCTGTGTCCCAAGGGAGCCTTAACTCTGCAACGCTCACAAACTGCCCCTGGCTCAGGCAGTACATGAGTTTCCTGGGGACAGAGCCCAGGGGAGGCATTCCTCACCCCAGCCCCAAAAACACACTGGCTGCAGGGTGACCAGACTGCAGGTTGGCTGCTGCCATTGCAGTGCAGCCAGCAGCCCCACAGGTGGCTGTATGCAGGATCAATAGCTCTTGTATTTTTCCTTTCTAACAGTTAATCTTGAGGGGGGAAAAAAAATGAATTTCAACGTTTGGAATATCAAGGAGATGCTCAGCACTCCCACAGCCTCTGGGTAAGTGCCGTGCGTTTTCACACCCATCACACTGCAGCCATCAGAGCCTTTAAGTACAACAGCCTCTCTGAGGAATTAAGATGATGAGGGAGTTATAAATTCAAAAAAAGCTCCTTCCTGACGTGTAATAGGTTAGAGTACCAAATAGTTTGGAGGTCTTGCACTGCTAACATAAAGCATTCCTGGGACTGGCAACATTTTGAGTGTTTAAGAGCATTTACTCAAATTAAAAACATTTTAGTGGTCCACTTACTTGAATTCAGGACATATAAGTGGAGGGATCATGGTGAGCAGCAGGTTATATTGCCTGAGTTGAATATACTGTGGTATAATAGAGTGAAATATGGAAAGAGGAACATCTGCTGTGCCTGCCCTATGCTCAGCTTTTTGGTGGCTTTCAGACTGTTCCCTTGGCTTGGCCTAGGATAGGAACAGGCAGGATCTTTGCAAGGGATATAAGGGATATAAGCTAGGAGGATATAAGCTGGAACAGGAGTTACCACCTTTTTTTTTTTTTTTGTTATAGCTCCTTTCTTCCGGAAATTGTTGGAGAAACTGCCATAATTACAGTCACTGTACTGCCAAAGCAGGGAATGACTGCAGGAATGATAAGAAATATGCCTAAAATTAATCTGTGGTTAATCATGGTCTGCTGAATTATGGCTGATAAACCTACTCTGTTTCTGTCTACATTACTCTCAGCTTACTAAGTACTGTGATAGATTTACCATTGTAGGGAATTTTAAAATCAACACTGGATGCTCTGCTGAAAGCTATTCTGTGCTTCGAGCAGGGATTTATTCAGGAGAGTCCTATGGCCTATCTTATGCAACATGTCTAATTAGATAAGTTAAATGCTCCCTTCTTGCCTTGCATAGAAGATAGATAGAATGAATCATGATTTGCAATATCATTACACGTTATGTAACTCTAAAATTATTCCATATACTGCATTTATACACATGGATGATTTTTTTCCCCAGTAGAAGTCAAAGAGCAGCTATAACTCCCCACATCTACAATATATAATGAAATAACAAATATTATTTGTATTGAACATCTAGAGAACAAATGTATAAAACATGCCTTTTTTTTTTTCTTCTTTTTTTTTTTTTTTTTTAAATAAACAGCAGAGTATCAGCCTTTGCATCACTTGGCTTAAAAGCAGTGCCAGATTTATCCCTCATTTAACTCTGGAGAAGCTAATTGATTAATTTTGTCCTCTGATCCTCTGGTAGTTAAATAACCACTTATATAACTAACTGTTCAAATTCACAGTTTTAGTCATAGTGTCTCCGATGTGGCCTGATGTTACAATGATGATGGATGATAATGAAAATATAATAGCAGGTACCTTTCCCATTATAAAAGTACTTGTCGCATAGGTATGAATTAATTGAGTTTTGCACAGATGTAGGGGTCAAAGAGGACCCAATTCAGAGAAAAGTATGTTTATACCTGTCATGATTTAGCCTTTATAAATATGCATTGCATCATTCTATTGTCTTCTTGGTACCTGCAGGTGATTTTTTTTTTTTTTTTTTTTTTTTTTTTTTTTTTTTTTTGCTTTTATTAAAGCCTTCCCTCTTAACTAATCTAATAACACACAATTGAAACACAGACAAGATTTTAACACCTTCTCCTCAGCACTTCACTTTTCCTGCAAGTGAGTTGAGAGGGTCAAGCAGAGCATGAAACAATACTGAGAATGAAGCTGAGCTTTTAGAGCAGTTAAAAGGAGAACTCAGAAGGCAAATTAAATTCTTTTAAAGGAAAAAAAAAGTTAATAGTGTGTGTATAAAACTGAGATATGAGAAAAGGTGTTAACGACTTCTCCCAGCTCACTTCTCCTGTTACTAGATCCTTTTCTCACTACAGCAGGATATGATACACAGACTGCATAGTACTGCCTTTCAGAAAGCTTCCAAGATGAAACATAAAATCAACAGATAATATTGACAGGGCATGCCTCAATGTGTTAGTTCTTTTCACGTTTGAGGAAAAGTGTTACTTCTGAGAGCAGCTGCCACCAGGTCCATGAGTAATACAGGACTCCAGTGATGTAATAAGGCCAGAACAGAGTTTCTGCAGAAGCCCAACATTGCTCTGCACTGTTACCTCTTGTACTTCCTTTCTGCCTGCACCTCAGAACAGACCGGGGACTTGGGGTTTGATTCATAATCCATCAAGCATGTGTGTTCTCGTCTGCAACTGCTGGCAGCCTGAGAAATAGGATGGGGGAGCCAAAGTCCCCACTTTACCTGTTCTTATATGTGAATATTGGCATAGTAGAGATCCTACAGACTCATCAGAAGGAAGATTATCTAGTTGGACACTGTAATATCAGGGTGCCAATTATTTGAGAAGGTAAGAAGAGGTCATGCTGATAAAGTGACAGCTATGCTGTGGAGAAAGCTAAGAGTCAATTTAAGTGTACCAACAAGCAACACAATTTTGGGGGATTGAAATGCCAGACACAATTAAGGAATGTGTTGCATTAGAGCTGCACTGCTGACTGCCTGGCCAGAAGGGCACACAGAGGAAGATCACAGGGCATCTGAGCACAGTGGTCACAAAAGCAGCAATGCTTCAATTAGCCTTCTATCAACTGGGTAGTCACAGTGCTGAAACCAGATTTTCAGCACCATTAAGACCTGCTCAGTGAGAGAACTCCCAGGGAAGAATCGCATCTTGCCTTGGTCCTGGGTTGGGCACAAGACCCTCGTTTAGAGCATCACTCCATTATTCTTGTTGTACTGCCATAGAAGTGACAGTAATGAACTGGAGTCAGCATCTCTGCAGGAGAAACAGGAGCCAAAAATCCACTACAGAAATGTTTAATTTCCAAAAAGAAATTGACGTAGAAATAAAGAAGCTTGTTAGAAAGGAATTTAAAGGGGTGACAGAAAGGGCTGTAGGTTCGCCTGAGGCATAGAGATTATTTAGACCTCGAGCTGAAACACAGAACAAATGCAGAGCAGCTATCAGAGCAGAGTGAACAGGACCAGTACCAGACTGACACGGTTAAATAGCATGGTAAAGAAAATGAGAAGGCACCCTTTAAGAAATTAAAGAGCATTAAAAATGTAAAAATGGGAAGCAATGTATTATAATTTTAAATTGAAGTTACCATAATTTTCTTGTTCCACATGAAAAGCAGTAACTTGCTAAAGGCATAATAACTACTAATAAACCAATTTCAAAAGGCATCAGGAGCAGAAAGCCAGAGAGTGGGTAAGGCCAAGACATTATGAAAATACCGAAGAGAAATATTAAATTAAAAAAAAGATGCCATAACATGAAGTCCACTTGTACCATTTATTCTCCATGGCATATTTCTGCTTTGAGAAAAGACTTCAGAGTTTAACAGCCTCATTCAACCCATTATTTCATTAAATTCTATTCCATATAGCAGAACCACAAATTCTGAAGTCACCTTAATGTCCAAGAATTAGCAGAAAATGACGGAGATAGACAAGACAATGACTGAGAGAGCGACTCAAAAAAAAATCCTGAGCCTTACAGGACTCTGCAGACTGGAAGACAGCTTCAGAGTGGGGGACAAAAACTGTCTCCAGAGGTCTAATTCCTAATATGGCCAAGAATAAATGTGTACGTAAACGCGGCTGTGCCGCAGCAATCTCTGCCTGCTGGCTCCTCGCTTAGGACAAAAGAACCGACACGGTTTCCAAGGTGAGGAATGTTTGGGTGGTATTGAATCACATTGGAATGAATAATGGAGTTGCTCGTAGAAAGTAAAAATGACCTTGAAGAATTAAAGCAAGAGCAGAAAGACTTTCAGCCTGATACCTGGAAGCTGGAGGCAGCGGCTGTAAGAGATCCTGTTGTGGTTAATGCGTTGGGGTCACTGCCAAAATCTCTTTGTAGAAATTCCTTTTAGGATATGAATGCAGAAATGAAACAAATGATTTGCAGCAAGCAGGTCACTGAGTTCCAAAGGATAGAGAACAGAAAAATAATGTTATGCTTTGGCAGTCTCCAGCAGAGATGGTAGATGGCTGGGAGAAGAAACAGCAGTTAAACCTCCTTGATTTCACAGAATCACAGATTTAAACTCCTCCAAGCCTCTGGATGCTGAAGTCCCTTCTCTGCACCAAAGCAAATGCTGATCCTTGCTTGTTTGATGAACACTTTGGCAGGCAGCAAAAAGTAACAACAAGAGCAGCACGGCAGAGATAGAGACAGTTCCTACAGATACAGACAGTTCCTACAGATACAGACTAAAGCTGTGAGGAAGGGCAGGTGAAAAGCAGCTCGGAGCTCTTCAGTTGGATTTGTTGTGATGCAGTCCTAACTGCTAAATGAGAGGGAGCAGAAAGGGCAGGGAGGTTTTTGGATGGAAAGCAGGAGGAAAGGAACAGTACTGCACTGATACTACTTGAGATTACTGTCAGGACAGAAAGATCTCTTCAGGAAAGCACTGCACTTTAAATATGTCAGGAAGCGTAAGTGAGCTTCACCCACAGAGCTGTGTAAGAGGAGGGACATTGGCACGGGTTTGGTGTGGATGATGGGCTAAATACAATCCCAGCAGCACCACAGATAAATGTTGCTTTGGAAACTGTAGAAGACTCTGTTTGCTTTTCCAGCTGACTCTTAGCATTTGGTGTTGGACCCAATAACAGAATTAAAATTGTTTTCACAGACCAATAAGGCCTAGGACAATTTATAAGATTTGGCATGGCAATTCTAGAAACATCTAGAGAACACAAGAAGAGAAGATTTACTGCACGCTACATGTCCCTGTGTGTTACATCTGACAGCTATTTTGGGGCAAGGCAGAACCTTTAAACGAAAGGTGATATGTTTGTGTGTGGCCATGCTGAAGTATTTGGATGTGCTAACTGCAACTTGGGAACAAGCAAGAAGCTCCAAAAAGATCCAACTTATCTTGAGGGACAGCGAGGAGGAATTCCCATTGGTGGCAATGAAACTGAGACAGCAGAGGACCAGCTGACCCCCCAGCTATGCAGAGGGCTGCAGATTTTTTAGGTCATGCTCATATTAAATGTCGGGGTTGCCAATATCACAGTACCTTGTGTAAAGTTAGGTGAGAAGAAGAAACCATTCAATTGGTCAACAGAGTACGATTTAGCAATTCTGGAGCTGACAGGAGCTTGTGATGGTGCCTATCTTACAAATCTAAATCTTTTCTTCCTTTGAATGCATACAGTAGTGGTTTAGGAGAGCTTCTGGCACAAATGCACTAACAGCACAGGAATGGCTCATTTTAGCAGAAGGCTGAAAGTTCTCTGGAGATAAACTACTGCATCACCTAAGAGGGACTGCTAACCAGGATTAAATGGCTGGGATGTTTTCTTGCTGTTTATAAAGAAGGGTTTATATTTAGAGCAGATCATACATCCACGAAGCTCTGGCATCCTGAAGGAAACAGTCAGGTGGTTGTCTGATTTCACCATCACAGAGAGTTCTGGGCCACGTGTGGCCAGGCTGATGCCTTGTCCAGATGGCCTCGTTAGTAAATTCATTGCCAGCAGTGCTAAGCAGGGGAGAAAGAACTCCACTGCTCAGGGGAGTGAATGTGCTCCAAGAGGCATCTGTTTCATCTCCCCCCATAGTTTGCAAGAAGTGTCATCATTCCTAAACTGACCACCAAGAGAGCAGACTTAAAACAGAAAAATGAGGCTTCAGGGCTGCCAATAGCCTTCTTTGGTCATAGCATCAGCAGAGTGAGCCTGGGGAGTTACATGGCTCATAAAGTCCTCTGAGCTCCTCAGAATGTCAGCAATAGAACTCTTTGTATTGGAATCTTGTAATTCAGACGTTAGGTAATGCAAAGGGACTCTGAGCAGAGGAGCAGGTTACAGGATGTGATATGCTCCAGTTACTGTACCAGACACTTTGAAAGGGGATTATGGAACTAAGTGCTTTACTGTCAATATACAAAGATCATAAAAACCCTTCCTCAAACTAAGGAGGAGTTTTTTCAGCTAAAAGATGGATGGGTTTAGAAAAACAGTGCAGGAGATGTGATACTTACATTGCCAGCCAAAGTCCTGCAGCTCAGAGTACACAGTGAGCTCAAAGCCAAAAGCATTAAAATGATATTGTCACCAACATTGCTATATGAAGGAGGCTGAGCAGACTCCCACTAAACACTCTCTCTGTTGTATGTATGATGTTTGGGCTCCTTCCAAAAGTGGAGATTAACTGAAGACGTCACTGCTAATAAATGCTGGGGTGATGATCTTTTGTTAAAAACAAAAATTAGTCTCCTGTTCTTTTTTTCCTTTGGTTATACGATTTGATATAGAAGGAAAACCCTGTCTAAGAGCCTACATCATTAATTTTGATCTGTAATTCTCAGTTTGTTTATCCTTGTTTTGCCAGGCTTGATCAGAAGAAAGCCTTTGTGATTTATTAGCAAACATTTTGCTTTGAACTAATTCAGTTTGTTTCACAGAATCATAGGGGTTGGAAGGGACCTCCAGAGATCCTTGAGCCCAACCCCCCTGCCAAAGCAGGTTCCCTACACCAGGTCGCACAGGTAGGCATCCAGGCAGGTCTTGAATATCTCCAGAGAAGGAGACTCCACAGCCTCCCTGGGCAGCCTGTTCCAGTGCTCCGTCACCTCACCATAAAGAAGTTCTTGCACACATTTGTGCGGAACTTCCCATGCTGCAATTCCTGGCCGTTTCCCCTTGTCCTGTCTCCACACACTGCTGAAAACAGTCTGGCCTCATCACTCTGGCTCCCACACCTTAGATATTTATAGACCTGGATCAGGTCCCCTCTCAGTCTTCTCAACCCTGAACAGACCCAGTTCACTCAGCCTTTCTTCATAGGGGAGATGCTCCAGCCCCTTCACCATCTTTGTGTCCCTCCGCTGGACTCCTTCCAAGAGATCCCCATCTTTTTTGTACAGAACTCCAGATGAGGCCTTACCAGGGCAGAGTAGAGGGGGAGGATCACCTCCCTCGACCTGCTGGCCACGCTCTTTTTGATGCATCCCAGAATGCCATTGGCCTTTTTGGCCACCAGGGCACACTGCTGGCTCATGGCCAACCTGTCGTCCACCAGGACACCCAGGTCCCTCTCTGCAGAGCTCCTCTCCAGCAGCTCATCCCCAAACCTGTACCAGTGCATGCAATTATTCCTCCCTTTCTTGTTTCTTCCTTGACCCATTTTAGGATGTTATATGGTGAGATTTTTGTTCTTGTGGGTAGGCTGGGTTAAGCCTATGCACAGTGACACAGTTGGATGGAGTAGAAGAACAGATTTCATCTACTGCTACCGAGAAACAGCACCAAAGGCAGCAATACATCTTTTGAGTAGTGTCATTACATTTGAAATATTTCTAACAATCAGATCTACGTGTCCAGCCATACACTGCCTATTTATTTGCTATTCATATTCACAATCCTCTCTACTCCATTTCAGGCCAAACAAGCTCTTTGCCCGCAGCAGCGCTCTGAGTGACTACTCAAGTCTGAGTGACTCCCAGGTGCTCTTCGGCTCCCAGTTCTGCCCAGAGAATGTGCAGTCAGCAGCACCGTTGGAGCTGGGTATTGTGGGCCAGCACAACTCCCAGGACGTGAGTTTTGCTCCCTCCTTCAGCCCTGCCCAGGCACACAGCCACCATCCAAAATTAGTGGTGAATACTGAAATAGGCACTAACGTTCACCAAATCCAGTTACCTTCTGATACAGAAAGAAGAGCATACATTTACAGCAACTAGACAGCAGCCCGGTTAGCTAAAAAAACTATCATTTCTAATCAATGATCATTATTGAGATAAGCATTATTTTCTTTGATTCTTTTTGATTACCAACATAACATGAAGTTAGTCTCAAGCTAAAGTCTTTAGACTCCCTAGGTAAAGTAGAATATGTCATCTATTCTTTGAACAGTTCTGTGTTAATTGTGATTAGCTTTCCACAAGAGCAACAGAGGTATTCAGAAGTGTTCAGTTCCACTGACAGAAAGTTACCTTTCAGTACTGTTGTTGCAGCAGATCCCTGAATGCTCATGGATGAAAAGCTTCTATGCTCAAAATGTTCTTCCTGTAGCACGTGGCTTCTGATGTTACCAGCCTCACTAAAATAGCTCCTGCACCACTAGCAGATAGTGCCAGATCCAAATAAAGACACCTGGGAGCAAAGATTAGAAAAAAACAGTCATGCCAGCTCCATAGCCCTAGGCAGCCATTCAGTCCCAGATCCTATCCGCTGTCCCCTGCACTTTGCTGAAGAGCTTGTCCTTTAACTGTGTAGCTTTTCATCAGACGCAGGAAAGAAAATTCACTCTTCAAGATGAAAGAGCATTGAAACGTGTGAAAAACTGAGCTACAGTCTGATGATGCTTGGCAGCAAAGCCTGTCACCTAGCAGGAAATTCAATAGGATTTTCTGTAGATTAATGTACAGGGAGCTCCCTGAAATAATTTTATAGTCTGTGTGTTAAGCATGCAGGGAAAAATATCAATGCACCTGATGACTGCAATCAACTGAAAAGAGTCAGGATGAGGAAAAAGCCCAAGTTTGAAGAAATTCAGGTTGGGTTTCAGTTCCACTGGGAGCCACACAATCATAAAACCGTTAAGGTTGGAAAAGACCACTAAGATCATCCAGTCCAATCATCAACCCATTGAGTCCATCTAACAGGACAGACTCAGTGAGCAATAACCTCATGACACTTCAACATCCTCATCCAATCTGTAACATCCAATCACTGTGAACCATGCCTCTAAAAAGTACTTGGTACACAAATGGTCTTTGCTAATTAACATTCTGATTATTTTTATACCTCAACATTTTTTCTTTTTTCTTTTTTCTTTTTTCTTTTTTTTTTTTTTTGTGCAACAGAGCGAGCCCAGTATTTTTACCAAATACCAAGCAAAACCACAGCTATTTGACGAAGATACAAGAGAAAAAGGGTTGCTTAATTTTGGTGCAGGACAAGGGAAGAGAGTCCTGGAAAATTTCAAAGCGAATAACAACAAAATAAAGGACAAATACGATCGGTATGTACCCACTGCAAACTTCCTGTGAAGTCTGTTATCACTCCCTGCAGCTCCTCTTTAAAAGTTATATATGGCATAGCTGCATATTTCAGGTTTTAGATAATCTCTCATTGCAGAGAGTAGCAGGATAAGAGAATAGGGTTTATTTGCAGTGAGAGTTGCATAACGCTTCCAGCCATAAGCCACAAGGAACAACAAAACTATAACCTGAATTTACCTTTGTCTTCTTTCTCTAGTCAGCAGGGGTTTGTTGGTTTTTTTCTCCTGTGTTGATTCTCTGTGAAAGCCTGTGGTTGTAAAAAATGTATAGGCTGTATTGGGACTGATCAAAGGGACTCCTGGTGTGACATTTACCTTTGAGACAGGTGAGGAGAAAGCCAAGTACATTTGTGTGCAGAGGAAGATGTCATGATTGTAACGTAAACCTGCACAAATCCCTAGAATTTTTCTTGTATACAGGATTTTTGTGTGTTTTTTATAACACACGTGTAATTTGATGATGAGCCCTCTGTCAAGCATTAAGAATTAAATGTAGCTGTCAGACCTCTAGGACTTAAGGATTAAGCCAATATTTTCAATCTCAGAAATGAAAGATGGCAAGCTCCCAGCACACCCATAAATAATTCTTCATTCTGTACATTTTGTAAAGTAACATTCAAAGTGAAACACATTTTTCTTAAAAGCCTTTAATCAGATCAGACTGCACATCTCCTTCTCTTCTGCAACAGGCACTGTGATTCTGATACTGCAAAAATGTGATGCTCTGGTGCTTATTGGAAAAGTGGAGGATTTTTGTATTTGTAACCGAATTGTGAGGAATGAACATACATTTTTAAATGTTTAGACAGAAATCTTAATTATCCTCTACTTCTTCTTTAAATTAATTATGCTTCTTTCCATACTACAGATGCATCTCAGATTTGAAGCATGCTTATAGAAGTGGCTGTATTATCTCTTAAAAAAATAATAATAATAATAATTTATCCATTTGTATCTCCTGCATGTTTGATGATCAAAATGAACTTATTCTTATCATAAAGCTGAAAAGAATTCCAGCAGCCTACTTCTCACTGTTACACTCTACCTGGCCTCCACCTTTTTGATTGCTGTAATTTGGATGACTAAATGATCAATTTAAAATGACCCAAAACTCCAGAGAGGAAATAGGCTGGCACTGTGCTTAGCAACACTCCGTGCATTTTGGCTTGATAGGTTAATCATGAATATAGCCTGGTTCTTGATAGGCTCACTCCACTCCAAAGGATGGATAACAGAAACCACAGGCGTAATCTCAGGAGAAAAGGATTTGTGCTGTATGTTCTTCCTTTGTTGATGCTGCAGCTTTTCCCTATTTTCCTGCACAACTATTTTAGCCCAAATATAATATGTATGTATCTCAGCAACTGGCACGTCACCTCCACCCAGACTGGGTCCTTCTGGACCAGACAGCACAGCAATAGCAGCCAACATGCAGATGTGCAAACAGGCCTGGAACTTCCATGAGAGGCAGAAATGCTGGGCCAAGATGAGGAGAGTTTAAAAAAAAAAAAAAAAAAAAAAAAAAAAAAAAAAAAAAAAGAAAAGTATATACATGTGTGTGATGTATATGTGTATATATATATAAACTTTTCTTTTTACTGCGATATTTTCAATTTCTGACTACTTCAGTAGCTTACATGTCTGTCTTAAAAGCCAGAAACACAGCAAGTATAAACTGCTCTGTCTTTTGTTTTTTTCATTTTAGAGAAGTGCTAAGCACCTTTATTTCCAGCATCAATGACAGGCTTCAAGGGGTAAGTTAATTCAAATTCAGAGCTCAGGAGAAGGAAGAATTAGAAATGCTACTCAACATTCATCTTCTCTCACTTTCTTCACTGATATTTGACTTAGCTTACTGTTTGCTGTGAGCACACAAATACTCAGACCAACAAATGTCAATGCTTTTGCACATACCATGCTCTTTGTGGCCAATCCTTAGGGTTACAGGCCATAGGGCCTTGTCTCAGAGTCAGCAATGGAATTTCTCTGGGGCTTGGGAGCAAGAACAGGCTGCAATGGCTGTCTGCAAATACAAAAGCTTCTTTCCTTCTGCCTGATGACAGTACCTTTCTCTCAGGAACAAGTAATCCACTGTAGTCTCACAGTCTGAAGGTGAAAGTCTCTTCTCCCCCCTAATTTTTATAAATAATTTAACTGTTATCATTAGTGGTTTTTTTTTTTTTTTTTTAACAGATTAATATATTTATCATAAAATAACTTAAGACTTCTGCAATCCTTCACTTGTCTTTTGAGCCATTCCAGGTCTCTTTTGGGGTTGCAACCAATGGATGAACAAACTGTTTGAAGTGACAGTTGCCCATTATTCTGTGGCTTTTAAGGCTGCGTTTTTGCAAACAAATAAAAGACAACGTATAATTTTCTCACTTACCTTCACTCTTACAGCTGCAAGCATGCTTGGACAAGATTGAAAAAGAGTTCAATTCAAGAAACAAATCAATTTCTGTTCACCTGGAGACCATTTCCAAGACACGTGAGTCCCTTCAGTGCTTCTGTTAACAGCAGAGGGCACAGTCAAACTACTGAATGTCTCCAAGCTGGGCTGAAATAGGTGACTCATGCCATTCACAGCTGCTCCTCGTAAGGGTGAAGAGCCAAGAAGGGCTCACAGTCACAGCATGGGTTTGGTTTTTCCATTCTTGTTATACTTACCCTTTCTCTGCTCTCTTCTGTCAAAGAATTTAGGTGCTGTATGGTCAGACACCATATGTGTATAGATAAAGGCACCTCTATGGTTTTGTGATCTCCTCAATCATTTTTAGGCTTTATCTGATACACTAATGAAGTACTCACTAAAAATACTGTTGATACTTATATCCTATGTTTCCACATCCAGGTTTTAAGGTTTTCTCAAGTTTTCACTGTAGTTTGCAGTTTTTTATCTCTGGTACTATTCTTCTTAGGTGAAAAGTAAGTCATGAGGTGCACTTGTACTGTGATGAAAGGATGATCTTCCAGAAAAGCTAATAATGTAAAATTCTTGTGAACAGCAAGTACTAGTCACAGCAGTCTTTACTGAGGGAGACTGCTGAAATTGTTTCTAATTTGACTTAGATCTGAGCTTTTGAGAGTAGAGTAATTTTTAATTGTGCCATTATTTTTTATCAGCACTGTGTTGGGACTGTGCTCTGTGCAAGAACAAGGAATCGGCTTCAAAACATGTACAAAATGTGTGATATACCTTTTGAGTTCAATGGAAAAGACCTTCACAAAAGCAGTCGAATCTTATCTGTGCAGCAAAATGTGGCTTCTAAGATGCATAGCTTTGACAGTTGCCCTTTAAATCAACACAGCCCTCTCAGGCAAGAGGAGTAGAGTCTGATGCATTTTTCACAAGGCTGTGGTAGCACATGTGTTCAAAATATCAATCTTGTTGGGGCAAGAACACTCCCTTGCTGTGCTTGGCAAGTGCTCTTTGTGTGGCCTCAATGTAAGCAAGAATCTGTCTGCTTTGGCCAGCACAGCAAGCTTCCTATTTGCGTTTGCCCATCCCCTAGTTGCTTCAGTGTCTCAGCTTGTCCACTCTGAGGCAGGACTTTGCCTAATTTCATACACCTCTAGCACAGAAACTGTTGTCATGGCACTGAAAATTAAATCTATTGCTCATGAATCCCCCTCGTCCTTCTCTGCCATTTGTTCATCTGCCCTGTTTTTTCTCCATAACCATTTTAAATAACTGTGCCTTGAATGAAATGAGAAACCTCCCAGAGGTGCCTGCTGCTAGATTTTCAAAGCAATTGAAAAGAGAAATTGGCACTTTCTGTAATGTATCATGCTGCAGAATGTTGAATATATAATGAAAATCATCACACACTCCACAATGTTGTTCTTTTTATATTTCTGGGAGGTTCATCTGTCACTGGTTAATTGCTGATAAACACTGCCATTTGACTGGTGTCACGGTGATGGATAATTAAGTTCCCACCACATAAATGCCCACACTTGTGCCTTGAAAAGATCCCAGCTGAGGTAATTCCTTCAAAAAAGCCATCTAAAATTCCTAAACTCAGCTGACAAAGAACTAAATTCAGAGCCAATGAAGCACTGAATAGCAGTGGTTGATGATACAGTACCGTGGGATGTGGGTGACATGGTAGAGGTGTTAAGCAATTGGTGGCTGAGGATTTGACGTGAGGAGCTGAATGCAGAAGATGACGAGGCTCTCTTCAGAGACACAAGTTGTACAACAGGGCATTCAAACAATGCTGCAAAGTAAAGAAATCACTTGAAATTAAGTCCATTCTCATTAGAAGCATTTCAGGGGTGTCACAGGCCTCGTTTACAGCAGTGAGCAGCACGTACATTTGGCAGAGTCTACATAGCCACAGTGTGAGAAGAAAACAGAAAATATTTTTCAAAATATCCTTCCAAATGCTGTTGTGCTAGCATGCTCTTTGCAATGAGATAAAAACTGTTCTCTTTTGTGCATTTGTTCATATGTGCATGCACAGCGGATAGAGCTGCGTCTGGCACCATCAGTGAGATAGCATTTGCCTGAGCAGCCTTCAGAGAAGCACAGCTGCTCTGTTCCTTGCACACATCTCAGTGTGCTGTGCACTGGGATGTAAAGAAGGAAGCAGACCTGTGTTCTCAGTTCTGCCTTGTAAAGAGTTTCTCTGGTTGACTTGCTGGCTTACCATTTGCTCGCTCTTTCTGGTCTCAACCGCTGTAACTCATTTCTTTTTTTATTTTCCTCATTTTCATTTATATACTCACATTTATATCAAAGCTTTCTTATACATATATATACAAATCCTCATATTCACAGCTCAGCCCCCTCTGAACTGCCTTGCTTTTCTGGTATCTGTCATTTCCAGCTGTGACAACTCACAGCAGCCGTATCCTCTGCAACACTTCTTTGCATCTTCCCAGTGAGCACACTGCTGACAGTCTGCCCCTCCTGCCAGCAAAGATGGTGAATAATGGGCAATATTTCCCTTAGAGAGGTACAAGCCAATGCAAATCTCTGACAAAACCCAGCACTGGGCAGCAGGGTGGGCTTACTGGACGGGCTCACCTACTGCCCACCCTGAGGACCTGCAGCATTCTCTCTCCTGATGGATTTCACATTCCTTATGTTATTAATGCAAACCAGCAGCATTCAAAGACAATGGTATAGCAAACCCAACCATAGCAACATTCCAGGTTGGAAAAAGCTGTTTGGCTTGGAGTGAAATACCTGAAGAGAGGCACAAGCCCGTGCATAATCCACTCATTAACTGAGTAAAGATTTTTCCTCTATGATTGAGTTATTCAATAACCATCCACTGCAGGGTTTATTTGAAGAAGACTTTCTCTGAGGCAGCTGTTCTTGATCTTTTTCAAAGCCAAGAGGTTTGACTAGCAGGATCCTCGATCTGATATACCTCAGCCATCTCAATGCCTTTTTTTTCTCAGCGTAGATCAACACCCATTTCTGTTGTGTTTAATAATGTTTGACAAGTCTGAACGCTCCTTGGTGCAGAAGGCAGCGGGGGAGGAAAGTGCCCCTCCTCCGTACTGAGGTTTTTCTGCAGAACACTCCTACATGTACAAATGGAGCGCGTTCCAAAGGCTGTTGGGAGCCTGCCCGCAGCATGCTGTGCTGAGTCAAACGTATGTACAGATCACAAGCCCAGAGGATGCAATGCTATTTTTAAACCGAGGATACCACACTGAAGAACAAATAGACAGGGGAAATCAGAAAGCTTTAAAAATAATTCAGAATTAAAAGAAAACATATGGGGAAGAGCATCAAGCTGAGGTAAGCCTTCCTTGTGTACAGCTGGAATGGGTTGGAGTGACGTGAGGGGCTTTCTTCGCTCAGTTGTTGCTGCCTTCCTCCCCTCAGTGGGGCTGCAGGCCTGCAGGGGGCCAGCAGCCTCCCAGAAACATAGTGCAAGTAGCACTTGGGTCTAACCAGGGAGATACAGACTCTGAAAGGAGCCACTGAAAAGACCTCTTCCATCATTACAAACCCACTGCACAAGCCGTACCTCGCTGCTCTGTGACCCAGCACACAGCCTTGTGTCACCTGCTGCCTGCCCACTGCCTCGCCTGCACCCAGCTCACCGAGGCAGGTTCCTGCAGGACTGGTCCATGAGTTTGCCCCCTTCTGCCACCACTCTTCAGAGCCTTTATGCACCTCACAGTTTTTCTTGTATGACGTGATTTCCAATGAAAAGCTTTGTTTGAATCTACACAAAGGCCACTGCATTTGCCTTTGTCTAACAACTCACCTCTCTTATCATCGAATATTGCATTAGTCAGGCACAATCTGCCTTTCATGAAGTCTTGTTCTGTTTTGTTCCATTTTCCTCCATATCTTTGACTGCTCTTTCCTTTAAAGTCTAGTTAAAACCTTGGGCAGCATGAGAACAAACCTGCCAGCCCATAATTGCTCACATCTCATTCTTTTCTCCCTTCCAAATGTACCTTTTCAAAAGTCTCTGTTTTTACACGAACCTAAGCATGTACGATCCCTTCTGCCCGTCTCTCCTTAATAGTTTTTAACTCTGGCCAATTCCATCACAAGTTTGACAGAAGGGCAGAGCCACCAAGATAATTAAGTCCCCACAAGCTTAATGAAAATAGCAGGGCAGGAGAAGAAGTGATGCTGAGCACCGTGCGGTGCTGCAGCAGGGAAGCAGCATCCCTGGGGTGAGAGGAGCTGCCCTGAGGAGCTGATATAAATACACCATGTGCAGGAACCTCTTCAGCAGGGCTCTCAGCTCTGCAGACACCACGGTCAATCAAACGTATTGGATCTGCAGGAAAAGAGGATTAATTAACTGCAGAGCTCTTGCAGCCACTTGTTGGAATGTCACTCTGCACTGATCTTTCTCTTGGGCACACAGCAGCATTCCAGGACTCCTAAGTTTTGGTTATCCCACCCAGCTGGCTTGGGAACACTTTGTTTTAGGAGGGCCCTGCATCCTGTTTTGGGAGAACCAGTGAGTGCTCTGCCCCAGCCACGCATCCACACCTTCCTATGCTGTTCAAAGGGAAGAGCAGACATGGTTAGAAAGCATCTCTTCCTCTGTTTCATCATTTGTGGTTTTAAAGGAATACTTCGTTTGGATATTAGGAAGAATTTCTTCCCAGAAAGATGTGCTGGCACAGGCTGCACAGGGAGTGGTGAAGTCACTGTCCCTGGAGGGGCTCAAGGAAAGGGAAGATGTGTTACCAAAGGACATGGTTAATGGGCAGCATTGGTGATGGGTGGACAGTTGGACTGGATGATCACAGAGGTCTTTTCCAACCTGAATGATTCTATGATTCTATAAGATTGCTAAGGATCTTCCCCCCTCCATGTAAACTGTAAACCAGGCACATTGTGGTCCCTCTCCCAGTGCAATCTTTGTTTACCTCAGACTTCCTTGCACTGAGCTAACCAAGTGTTCCAGCTTCACGCAGCCTTTCATCTCCAGCTGCCATATTAATAGAGCACAGTAAATGAGATTTGGCCTGTACTCAGCATCTTATAAATTCCAAGTGCTTTGCATTAAGCATGTACCCCACTGTTCATTGTTTGGTGCTTGGGGAGAGCTCAGCTGTGGTTGCATAGCACAGTGAAGTATTTCATGCCAAGCTGTGGCAGAAGTAGCAATAGTATTGATAGTGCTTTATTCACATTTACAAATGAAAGACCAAATGTGTTTTTTATTGATTTGCCTGTTTAGTGCAAGATGCTCTTCAAAGTCACAGTGACGTGGTGCTGAAAGCCCTGGAAGATAAAAGCCAAATGGAGCAGGCACTGCTGGAGATGGAGAGGAGGCTGGCGGCTGTAAGTGGGGAAATTAATCTTTTATTCTGAATCTTCATTCCGAATTTCTCCAATTTCTTCAAAATATTAACTGAATATTAAATTATCTTCAGACAGAGGCTTACAAAGTAGACCGTTTCTATTGTAATGAATGGGGAAAGCATATTAAAATGCAAATTCTGAACCACATACTAGCTGATGCTTACCCAGGAGCCTGTACACAGTGTTGTCAGCGCTGATGGAATTGTGGTCAGAGAGAAGGGAGCCCAACAGTGCCCTGTGGTGGCAGGCACATGGTGAAGCACTGCTTTCTTGCTCTGTCACATGCCCTTGCTGGAGATGGTGCAGTGCATGCCCACTTTTGGGTCACAATAAATACGTTTCACATAGAGTGGTACAAATCGCTAAGATTGGGTCTTAACTTAAAGTGTCTCACTGATACATGGTACCAAAGTTTCCTCTTTGAATCTTATTATTGTACTTTGTAATGCATTGTTTACTGCTTCTGCTCACTGCTCCCCCAGAAAGATGTGGAGATTTTGGATGTGAAATCCAGTGTCCTGCAGCTGAAGGAGGGACTGGAGTCACTGCCAGTTCAGCTCAGTGACAACCACCTGAAACTGTGTGAAGAATTACGCTCCCTGAAGCTCCCCAGTGCCTTAGCTGAGCTGCAGACCTTCATAACCAGTGCCAAAGTCCCCCCCAGGACGGTGGATAACTCCTCCCAGACCTCGCCTGGCACATGCCAGGACTGTGCCCCACATCAGCAGAAAGCACACTGGCTGTGCTACCATGGTATGGGGGGCTGCAGCTCCTTGGGTCTGTCTGCTGCGGGGAAGCAGCACAGAGTCACTGGGGACGTGACACCTCGGGGTGGCCTCAATACACCTTCTGAAAGCAAAGTCAGCCCCGTTGCTACAGCTGTGTATGGCGGGGAGGTGGAATCTGCTTTGGTAGCACAGAGCTGCTCTCACCATCCGTGTGCATGCAGTGCTAACAGCCAGTTTCTGGGGGATGGTCGGAAGAAGCACATTCCCGTACTGCAGGAGATATCCCCAGTCACTCCTCTGAGGAAGGCAATCCGCAGAGGTACCGGAGGATTTAAACCCATGACACCATTGCAACAGAGGCAGCCTCAAGCGTGCCATCTCTTTGTGCAAAGCAACATGTCTGGGCAAAGAGATGGGAGCTCGTCCACAGACCAGGAGCTGGAGAACATAGCCGTAGGGAACAAAGCAAAGCTGAAGCTGGGAAGGATCCCCTGGAATAAAGTAATGGAGAGGAAGAAAACATACCCTGGCAAGAGAAAAGGGGAGCTCACCAGGTGTGCTGACGGTGGGCTGAAGCAAGTAAGAGCAAACAGGATTATCGGGTTGGGAAGCACAAGAAAAAATTCCTTTCCCAGATATACAGTTGCTCTCAGTTTAGCAAGCTCTAACCCAGTTCCTGCAGCTCCCCATCAACAGATGCTCAGCAGTGCTCAGCCCAGGCTTACAAGGAGTTTCCTGCCAGTGCCGTGCTCCAATAAAAGCATGCTCCAACTTGCAGACCAAAGAAAGAGAAGTTTGGAAAACAAAAAAAGAGTGATAGTCTCCAGTGTGAGAAGGGATTTCTGGGATTCCTCTCCCCAGGAAAGTCTGTTCTCCCTGTGCAGAACAGGTGAAAAACAGGAGAGCTGCTCCTCAGGCTCCACCAACCCATGTCCTGGCAACGTGCAGGGCACAGAATGTTGCTCCCTAGTTTTTGATAGTGATTATTCAGATTGAGGGGTTTCATTTTCAAAGCCTCCTGTGCAGACATGGCTGTCTCTACTGCTGTTTATTCCTCCTGTTTAGTCTCCTGCAGCTGATGTTGGGAGCTCCTGTTGGGATTGCTGAGAAGGGCTGAGTGTGAGCACAGCCCCTTGAAAACAGACAGGGCTCCTGCCTGGCGCCCAAGCATGTCACTGCCTGCTCACATCCATCTTCGGGGACAGCGTAGGATCTGAAGCTTGGAAAGCTGCCTGGGTCTGTGTTATTTTACCCCCCAACAGAAGTGCCCTGGGCTCTGTTTACTGTTGTGTTCATGCAGCAAAGTGCCTGCACTCAGCTGAGACTTTCCGCCCTACACCTCTAATAACGTCTTTGTAGCTGGAGGCTTTCACTCCTTTCTTATTCGTAGTCTCTGTTTTGGTTTCTATGCCTGAAAGTTCTGACTTTTGGCTCCCTAGAAAGTAGGGGTCTTTTTCTGGCTGGTTTTGCTAAGGTTAAGACTTGCCCCAAGAGCTGTTTCTGAGCTTTGGGTGGATACAGGCTCGGCTGAGGAAAGCAAAGTCCCAGAAACCCAGTGCATGGACTGCTGTGCTTCTTCTCCCTTGAGGCTGAACTTTGTTTCAGGAAATTCAGGATGTTGTTTAGTTTCTGTCATAGTAGTCTCATGTCTATCTTCATGAATAAAGGACGTGTCCATCTTAAACTTTTCAAAGATGACTCTCAGACAGAAGCCCAAAGGAGCAAAGTTGAAATTCAACACCTTCAGTATCTGATGGATACTTCTCATCTTTTAGATGTAGTTCTTTGGCTCAGGGTCATCCCAGTTGTGCAGATGTTGAGTGAGAAGGGACCACCTCACCACCAGCCTGGGATACATGGCAGCTTGAGCCCTCGGCAACCCCAGGAGCAAACAGAGCAGATCTTGCTGGGTCACCAGCCATGGATCTGTTTCCACAGCTTCAAATATTTTTGCCCTTTTGATCTTTGATCTGAGCTGCAGCTGGTGAAAGAAGCGTTTCAATATTGACACAAGCGGTCTATTGCCACGAACCCACAAGGCGCAGTGCTCTCATCCTGCAGGGGAAGGCTGGGATCGTTTGTCCGGCTTTAATAAACCCGTTGTTTCTTTGCAAATGTCTCATTTCTCTGTACTGGTGTTTTTTTTTCTTTTCAGGAGAGGTGATATCCCATTTCAGCAGGTGAACAGACAGCGTGACAGCTGCCCATAGCCCTTCTTCCTTTTACATTTCCCTTCTGCAGCTGTTCTCCCCAGAGTGCAGCAATTTGCAGTGGGTAAAACTCGCTGTGGGGGGCTGAGGTTCTCACACGTTTTGGGGATAGGAGGACTTGGTGCTCTCCATTCTGCACTGCTGCCAGCCTGGCAGCACACTGCTGAGCTTGGAGGGACCTCTGCTGCGAGCCCCAAGGACGGCACACCCCCAGGCCTAAGTGCAGCGGGGTTGTGCTGGGGACCCCACGGGCACGGAGGGGTCGTGAGCAACATTTTGGGATGCAGAGCAGTGAGCGGTGCTCCTCCCGTGCTGGCCGCCTCCGTGGGGACGTGGGGGTGATGCGCTGGGGTGCGGTGGCACCCAGGTGGCACTGGACACAGACACGCACACGCACTGCGGAGATGGCCCTGAGTCACCGGGCAGGAAGCGCCGGCGGCACGGGGATGCGGGAGCTGCGCGGAGCCGGAGGAGCCGCGGCGGCTGAGATATGGGGGTGCAGAAGGCACAGCCCGCCCGTGCGTAGAGTGAGGCCGGCACTGCTCCGCTCCCCCCGCAGCCTCCCCACCGCTAATCCCGGGATCAGCCGCCTGCCTGCTGCCTTTGTGGGGCCGGCATTGCCCAAATTCCGCGGCCCTGCGCTCGGCGCAGCGGTGCTGCAGTGGCAGCGGGCAGGGGGTGCCGGTGCCACCCTTCGCCTCTTGGGGGCACCTTTTGGGAACGGCGCCCCGCACGGTAACGCAGCCCCACGGGTGCGGGGGGCCGCCGGGACGCAGCATCACCCCCAGATTTGGGTACCACCGGCACAAGGCTGCCTTCGCTGCCTGCCCCGCTCGAGCATCCCCTATGGAGACTCGTCCCTGCCCCGCCGCACCGCATCGCACCGCACCGCCCCTCCCGCCCCAGTGCCGGGCGGGTTCCCGGTGCGGGTGCCCGCGGCTCGGAGCGGCGCGTGACCGCCTGCCGCCGCCTCCCGCTCCACCGCAGAGCCCGGCCCGCACCGGCAGCGGCAGCGGCAGGTCAGCGGGGGCTGCGGCGGTACGGGCTTCGGGGCCTCCCCGGGCTGCGGCGGGCGGCGGAAGGCAGCCGGGGACGCGGCAAGGTGAACGGAGCGCGGCGGAGAGGGGCTGCCGGTACCGGGGACACGGGGGATGGGGACACCGGGAACGGGGACGCCGGGGATGCTGTGGGCGGGCAGCACAGGCACCATGGAGCATCCGCACCGGGGATGGGGACGCTGGGGATGCAGACTGCCGGCACCAGGGCCGCTGCAAATGGGAGCGTTGGGAACGCGGGCTATTGGCACCGGGGACACCGGGAATAGGCCCAGCTGGGATGCAGCCAGGAGCCACCCGGGATGGGGCACAGCTGGGCACAGGCCCCAGTGCAGGGAAACAGGGACAGCCCCCACCCCCAGGCAGTGTCACTCCCATTCACCAACCCCCTGTCCCTGCAGGGTGAAGGTGAAGGCTCACCATGGCCGCAGTGTGGCTCATCACCTGGGCACTGCTCCTGGCTGACAGGGTCTCCACCACGGCCCAGGAGGCACTGACCCCAGATGAGACATCACAGCAGGGCAGGGTACCCCTGCATGTCCCATCCTGGGGACACCTGGGGACACCCCCAGCCTGGGATGCATCAGGGGAGCTGAGTGGTGCTGGGAACATCGAGAGTGAGCATTGGAGAGGTGGCAGCCCCGTGCACTGGTCTCAACTGCCACAGATGGGCACTGTCACCAGGACACCTCGGGTGACGGGGGCAAGCCTGGCAGGTGACACAACCCTGGCTGTGGTGGAGGAGTCCTTCATCACCTGGCAAGGACAAGAGGCTGAAGGCCAGGACAGCCCCAGGGGGAAAACAGAGCTGCCTCACAGCTCCACACCAGGGATGCCATCCCCCCAGGTGCCCATGGACACAGGGCCACCCTGGGCAGGTCAAAGGACGCTCCCATCTGAGCAAAGTGCATCTCTGCCAGGCAGCACTCCCAGCCCTCAGCCAACCATGTCCACCATTGCTCTGACCCCAAAGCCAGCAGTGGGGACTGGAGCAGTGACAGCAGCCATGCACACCTGGGGACAGCCAGCAGCTGTGGGCAGCAGCAAGCAGGGACTATGGGGTCACCTCAGCACTGCCCCTGCCTCCACCCTCGGGGAGCGCAGAGCCCCATCCCGCGAACTGTCACCCAAGATGGCACAGGAGGTGAGGGCTGAGACCTGGACCTGGCTGCTGCCTGCACATCAGAGGAGCACACGCAGAGCCCCACTCAGCAATGCCACCACCGGGGATGTGGCACCTGCCAGGTCAACAAGACTGCGGGACCCCCAACCCACCGTCAGCACCAGCATCACACCACCGCCCACCTCCAGCACGTCCCCCCCTGGCACCCCTTTTACAGGTAGGAGCTGGCAAGGTGCACGGACACCCCACAGTGACTGAGCCCTGGGTGCCAGCTGTCCTCTCTCTCACAGGGCTGCTCCCTGAGCAAGACATTGGCTCCCCGCAGCGAGTCCGGGGTGCTGTGGGGCACGGCAGCATCCCCAATGCCACTGAGGTTGCCGTGCCCACAGTGCGCCCCACAGCAGGGACACCGTCCAGCACCAGGCGCTCAGGTGAGCTGCGCTTGGACAAGCACCGTCCCAGCATGGGGTCCGGGGGGTGACCACCAGCTGGGCGAGGGGATGGCAGCTATCTTGGGCTGAGGTGCCACCTTCAATCAGGATTGTGCCAGGCGATGGCCCTAATCTACTGCCTATAGGGATTATCGCAGTTAGAGCCAGGCAGGAGGGGGCTTCCCTGTGGGGTCAGAGACAGTGCACTCGACTGTGGCCATCACAATAGACCCACATATGGGGAACCCCACTAACGAACCACCCCCTCTCTACCTGCAGACACCACAGGGACGCAGCCCCCTGCCGCCAGCAGCACCGCAGTGCCCTCAGCCACGTGGCAGCATGGAGTGGTGTGGGTGACGACACAGCGTGCCCCATGGCATCCCATGAAGCTGGAGCCCAGCAAGCCCCCCACAGAGCCCAGCATCTGTACAGGGGCTTCGTGTGCTGCTGGGAACTCCAACACGACAGCAGTGGGCTGGGCTGAGCTACGCCGTCCCCTTCGCATCGCCTGGGCCGTGCACGCCTATGTGGGGGCCGCGCTGTGCCTGCTGCTGGCGTTGGGCTGCATAGTGGGGCTGGGGGGGACCATCCTGCAGCGCCCACCCCAATGCGCCCTACTGCTGGGCACTATGGGGCTGCTGCTGGCCGCCAGCCTGCTGCGGGGCACCTTCCTGCTGCTGGACCCCTATGGGGCGCGGGGCCGGCTGCCGCCCCGCTGCATGCTGCTGCTCTGCTCCGTGCCCTTCACGCTGCTGGTGGGAGCCTTCGCTCTGCTGCTGGGCCGCCTGCAGCGCATGGCACAGCTCTGCCTGCTGCCCCCCTCCCTGGGGGGGCTGCCCGCACTCGGGGTGACGGCCGTGCTGCAGTGCCTGGCCCCCGTGGCGGCCGATCTGCTGTGGCCACGATGGGGTTTAGGCGCGGGGTTAGCGCTGCACGGGGTGGGCTGCGTGTTCGCCACACTGCTGCTGCTGGGGGGGCTGCGGGGCGGCTGGCGGGGGTCCCGCCGCGAGGGGCTGCGATGCGGGGCGCGGGCGCTGCTGGCGGCGGGGCTGCTGGGGGTGCCGTGCTGCGCGCTGCAGCTGCTCAGCGCCGCGTGGCTGCGGGGCGGCGTGGGCCCGGCCGGGCGCTGCGGGTGGCCCTGCTGGGCGGCAATGGGATGGATGCGGGTGGGAGAGGCGGGCGTAGGGCTGGCGGTGCTGCTGGGGGCGGCCGAACCGCTGTGGCGGGGACGGAGGGAGGAGGCCGCGGGGCATTCGTGCTGGGCCAAAGCGGTGCGGTACTTCTGCGCCGGGCGCAAGGCCCAAGCGCCCGAATACCCCAACAACTGCTACGAGCACGCGCCCACCGGAGACATCTCCAAGAGCCTCATCCGCAACCCGGCCGAGCAGCTCCCGCTGCGGGCGCTGAAGGACAGCAACGCGGCCGTGGCTGCGGGGACACCGGGCCTCAGCCCCAAGTGCCCCAACGTGGCGGTGGCAGCCATCCGTGAGCACGGCTCCTCGGCCTCGCTGGGGGAACTGGTCTTCCGCCCGCCGTCCCCCATCGACCTGCGGCGCAGCATCGACCAGGCGCTGTGCCGCCGGCACCTGCTGCGCGAGGGGCTGTTCGGGCGGCCGCGCCGCGGCTCCGGCGCCTCCATCCGCACCTTTGAGCCCCAAACCGGCATGGCGCGCTGCAGCTCCCTGACCGAGCTGCCCCGCGGAGAGGCCGATGTGTCCGTCAGCTCCATGGAGAGCTTCTCGCTGAAGATCAGCTGGAACCCGTGGCGGCACGGCCTGTCCTCGCCCGACAGCTTGCCGCTGGAGGAGGCGCCCAGCCGGGCGCAGCTGCTGGCCCACCAGGAGACCCCCCCGGCCCTGCAGCCCCCAGGCTCTGAGCCCGAGGCGCGGCGCAGCTTCCTGGCGCTCAGCAGGCAGGTGGACGCCCGCAGCCTCTCCAGCGACACCATTGAGCTCTGAGGTGTCACCTCGCACAGCCACATCCCCTCCTGCTGTGACCCTCAGCCAGCTCCGTTTGTGCCAAAAAAAGAGAAATAAAGTTTATGACCCAACCAGGAGATCCCCGCGCCCACACCCTGTGCCCCCCCAGCAGCCACGGTGGGTGTGCAGAGCTTTAATTCCTGAGATACACACACTGATATGAGCACACCTCAGTGGACAGACAGACCACGGACGAATGCGACAGCCACGTGCATGCATCCAGAGGGACCCCCCCCCAGGAGCAGCATTGGGCTGAGGGCCACTGCTACCCCACTACCCACACTCACCCTTGTCTGGGGACACAGGGGCTGGGGAGGGGAGGCACAAGGGCTCTGCCCTAGGAACACAAGGAAGGGGATTTAGGGATGGGGAGCTGAGCTTGGGGTGGGGGGACCCTGCCCCCCCTTATCCTCTCCCTATCCTCCGTGCTGTGCTGGGAGGGGAGACCCCAATCCCTGTGGCAGAGTGCCCCAACACGCGAGAGGTGGGGGGCAGCATGCTGTGCCCCCCCAGCAGCGCTGCGCCTGCAGGACCCCACTTCTGCATAGGACAAGGTGGGGAGGACGAGGTCCCTACTCTTACCATTGGGGGGGTACATGCAGGGCCCCACGCACAGCCCCCCACCCACAGCTATCTGCCCTTCATGAAGCCATCCAGGACGCGGTCACTGCGGTCAGACAGCCAATAGCCGGCCATGGCGGCCACGGCTCCGATGAAGATGGCGGTGAACACCATGTCACCCTTGGCAGCCAGCGTGGCCAGGGCGCAGATCATCACCCCGAAAAACATCTGCTGCAGCACCACCACCTCATCATCCGTCACGTCATCAAAGAATCCCTTCTCCGGGGTGTCTGCAAGAATGACAATGGTGGGTGAAGGCATCCCTCTGTGCCCCCCTCCCCAAACCCGTGTCATACCAGGGGGTTTGTCCTCCACACACTGCCCATCCCTGCGCACATGGCCCGGGGCGCAGACGCAGCGATAGCCGCCCTCCGTGTTCTCGCACACCTCCTGCAGCCCCGTGCAGATGGGCTCCTCGCTGCTGGTGCACTCATCCACGTCTGCAGGGAGCGCCCAGGTAGCGGCGTGGGGGCACTGGGCACCACATCCCCCCTACAGGCGTGCCAAGAGCACTCACCCAGGCACTTGGCCCCATCCCGCCGGTAGCCCTTGTTGCACTTCTTGCAACGCGCCGGCCCTGCGCCCATGCAGCCGATGCAGGCAGTAGAGCAATCTGCAGTGTATTCAGGAGGGGACAAAAAGGAAGATGGGGGTCTGCCACAGCGGAAGGGGGCCACCCCACATTACCACCCCATTGCTACCCTGCTACCCTCGCACCTCGGCACTCGTATGAGCCCTCAGTGTTGACGCAAAACTGGTTGGCCCTGCAGTGTGCCATCTCCGTGCCGCACTCATCAATATCTGTGGATCAGAGGGAATGAACCCATCGCGCTCTCTCAGGTCTCCCACCCCAATATCCAGCATCCCCGTGCACCAACCGATGCAGCGGTGCTCGTGCAGCACCCAGCCCCTCTTGCAGCGCAGGCAGCTGGAGTCCTCCGGCCCCGTGCAGCGCCCACAGGCCGGGTAGCACTCTGCAAGGGTGGGCATAGGGTGGTGAGCACAGGGTAGTGGGCACAAAGGGGTGGGCACAAAGCCCCCAGTACAGCACAGCACTGAGCTTACCGGCACAAAGCAGCTGGCTCTGGTTGCGTGATGCCTCATAGTAGCCATCTCCACACTCGGCACAGAAAGGACCGCCATAGCCAGGGCTGCAGACACACAGCCCGGTGCCACCCCGTGTCCCTTCTCCATCACAGCGCCCGTTGCCACTGCAGGGCTGCTGGGGGCCACCGGCACAGGCTGCAAGGACATGGGGGGGAAGGTGAGAACATGGGCACCCCCTTTTCCATTCCCCCGTGCTCACTGCAGGACTCACGCAGGCAATCAGGGCCGTAGGTGCCGGGCGGGCAGCACAGTGCCAGGCGCTCCATGCACAGCCACTGGAAGAAGTCGGGGTGCTGCTGTCGCCTGGGGACACACACACACAACACTCAAGCCCTGTGCCCCCCCCCCCGTACCCTGTCCCTCAGCCCCGTGTCCCCCACTCACTCGTGGAACCACCACTGCTCCACGTGCTCCTCGCTGTGCTCCAGCAGCTGGTGGCAAGCAAAGTCCTGGGGGGGGCACACGCTCTCCAGCACCTCCAGCAGCCGTGTCTCACTGTGGGGTCATGCTGATGGTTACAGAGGGTCTCCAAGGGCTGTCCTCACAATGCACACCAGCTCACCTGTGCTTGTACTTGGCCAGCTTCTCCTCCTCCCAGGCCGTGTTGCCCCCACCGAAGCCTTCGTGCTCTGTTCGCTCCATTCCCTGGGCATGCAGGGGGGTGGCCCAGACACCGTAGGACCCCACAACTGAGCCCCCCCTCCACGGATATGGCCCCCACGCAGGGTTACCCCCAGCCCAGTTCCCCAGGACTGTCCTCCCCGGCACCACTGCTGTCATTCCCAGGCCATCCCCCTGCCTCCCCCCAACAGCCATATCACCTCTTGTGTCTCCCCCAGCCACATCACCCATCCCCTCCCAAACCATGTCTCTCGTCCTCCTCCACCAAACCATGCCACCACCAAACCATGCCACCCCCTGTGCCCTCCACGCCGTCACCCCGTTCTTCCCCCTCCCAGCACCGCCTACATAATCCCCATGTCATCTCCCTGTAAGACCCCAGCACAGGTTGTCAACCTCCCCCCCAAACACCACCAACGTGCCTCCACCACCAGGTCCCCCATCATCCCCGTACACCGCATCGCACCACCCCCCTGCTCCCCCTCCCCATCTCCCCGCCGCGCTGTCCTCCCTCACCCTTCCCCCCCCCCCGCGCCCCAGCTCCGCACCCTGCTGAAGCTCTCGGCGAGGCCGCGGCAGGCTCGGCAGGGCTCGGCCCCGTCCCCCGGGGGGGTCTCACTGCCCGCTGCCCCCAGGAGGACCCCCCCGAGGAGCGCGGCCCCCAGCAGAGCGGCCCCGAGCCGGGCCCCCCCGCGCCCGCCCGGCAGCGGCAGCAGCGCGGCCGCCAGGCGCCGCCGCGGCCCCATCCTCCAGCCCCGCCCCTCGGCGTGCGCCGCGCCCGCTGACTCAGCTCCCATCTCCCTCCGCCAATCGGCGCCGCGCGTCAAGTCCCGCCCCTCCTCCCGCAACCAATCCGTACAGCCCTCCCGGAGCCGCCTTAAAGGCGCCACCGCCCTTTTTTCACGGCCACACCGAAGACTTCGGGCCGCATCGCTCTTTATTCACCAAGCGCCCTCCGCAGCCTCTCGGCCACCGCGGCCGCGTGGGGCTCCAGCCGGCAACCACGCCGCCCCGCCAGCGCCTGCAGGAAGCCCACGGCCTCGCTGGGCAGCACAAAGGCTGGGGCTGCCCGCAACACTTGGGGCACTGATGTCACCGCGGGCTCCAAGCGGGCCACCACGTAGCGACCGGCACCCGCAGACAGCACCGGGATGGCACAAGACAGGGCTGCGGCGAAGGCTTCGCATGGTTCCACCTCATTGCCGGGGTCGTGCAGGGGACTGGGGCCACTAGAAGCGTCCCCAGCCCTCGACACGCTCCCGGCGGCATCCTCCCACCGCCTGGCAGCAGCCTCAGCCGCCGGGGACAGGAGGAGGACGATGGTGTCCCCACCCCGCAGCGCCTTCTGGTGCAGCGCATGCAGCCACGGCAGCGGCCCCCACGCCGCCACCCCACTGCCACCACCCGGCGCGGCCACCACCACCATCCCCATCGGGCGCAGGGCTGCTGCCAGCGCGCAGGCTGCACGCTCTGCCACCGGCTCTGCCGCATGCAGGAGGAGTGCACGGCGTCCCCGCAGCGGGGCTGTGGGACAGCATCAGTGGCATCTCCCAAAAGCTCCATGGGGGTGGCCCCATAGGGGATCCAGCCCCATAGAGTGATCCCCACTACTCACCCTTGGAACCACACCCAGTGCGCAGGGACTTGAGCCAAACTGTAGGAAGCAGAGAGGGTGACACAGTGCTTAGCATGCAGTTCTGCCCGCATGCAGCCCCACTGTGCTCACCCTTCACGTCCTCCTTCTTCAGCAGCAGCAGCAGCAGGATGCAGGCGGCACACACCAGCACCCCCAGCCAGGCCAGCGCCCAGCGGGCACGCATGTCTGTGGGGCACACCGTCAGCACCCATCCCATGCCCCTGGCACCTGCAGCATCCCTTCCATTTACTCACACTTCTGCATGGGACAAGCCCACAGTGTGACCCCGCTGCCGTTTTCAGGGCGCCAGAGCTGTGGGCACAAGAACGCATCACACATCGTCACGTGCCAGCCCATCAGTGCCCACCAGACGCTGCCCATGCACTGACCTGCATACACTGCCCCGATGCCACGTCCTCCTGCAGCTGCTGCTTCAGCAGCCCCGGGCGGCCGGTCTCCTGCAGGGGGTACAGCTGAGCCAGAGGCATGGTGGCAGTACCCCCACCCACGGGGACCAGGGGGACCCTTACCACGGCAGCGAAGCTGGCGAGCGGTGTGCAGTTGCCCCGCTGCAGGGCGCAGAGTGATGTGTTCCCTCCAGGCTCCATCAACAGGATGTCGTCTGCATGGCCGGGCAGCACTCCAAGGTGTTCATGGTCCCGCAGGCACTGTGTCAGCCGGACCCTCCCGCTGCTCCTCACCTGCAGGAGAGAACTGATTGGAGAAGATGGCCGTGGGGCAGATTTAGGGCGGCTATGGGGTGAGGGTGCCTGCTACCTGCACACAGAGATTGAGATGTGGCTGCAGCGCTTGGAACTCCTGTGGTCCCTGCAGACAGAGGGCAGCCCATCAGTGCCATGCATCCCTTTGGAGTGTCCTGGCCCCATGGGGATGCTCACCTGCCCGGTGACAGGCTGCTGCAAGCCAGGCAGGGCTTGGCACGGCGCAGCAGGCGCCGGGCTCCAGCAGGGCACCAGCTCAGCTGGGAGGTCGCAGGGTGCGGAGATGGAGCAGGTGAATGTCTGCCCCACATCATGCAGCACCA